TCCTGCTGATGCATTTTGAATTTTAAGTTTGTTTGTGGTTGCAGTGAGTGCATTCTTATCCAGATATGTTTGTATGTCATTCTGAAGATACAGTTACCACGTCTCCAGATCAAATTAATGAAGCCATTCAATACTCCAGCAGTTTTTGTGACAGAAACCATTTGTATATATAGATGGGAGATTTTTTGTTTCCTTTAGATAGAAGTTCATAGAATTTAATACAGTAGCTCTGTGTATTTTCAGCCTGTTGACTTAATGAATTATGTCACTGATAAAAATATTAATATACATCCCAAAATCAGAAAAGGTTCTGGGGCTGTAGATATATACAGTAACTATAAATCTCGCAATAGAATTAGAACTACTGCTAAAGCCTTGATGTTGAAATGTTCAAATAGGCCCAGATTGTCCTTTAAAAAACATAAGTCACACACTGGGTTTATCTCATCCTGTTGGCCCTCTTCAGTTGTATCATGTCACTAGTTTTATGTCAGCTCTCTTGTAACCCCTTGGCCTGTGTGGCAGAAGGTAATTTGTGTTCATGAAACTCATTTTATTTTCTGAATGCTGTATGTGTCATGTTAGTGCTCAGCTGTAGCTCAAGTTAGCCTAACTTTGCATATTTGTTGCATGGTGGGCTGTGGACAGACAAAGGTTTTAATTTGGATATTTGCCTTGGATACAATAAAACTGCAGTTGAGTTGAAGCTGAATTAATCCGTATTATTATTGTAACAATGAATCAAATAACTGTGTTTATAGGAGAATCCAGAGAAATATCACCAGGTCTGCAGCTTTAAATGAATCAAGGAATGAATAAACAACTTATTCAGACAAAAACATGTCAGAACTGTGGACATGTCGGAGTTCTTCTGCTTTCTAGTGGCAGAAGTCAGTTCATGCATCTTACCAACTTATCTGTAATAATAATCCATTTATTAGTCACAGACTGGGGAAATTTATACACTCACACAACGATGGTGTTGCTGCCCTGCATGGCACTGCTGAGGCTATCAGGAACAACTTGGGGTTCAGTGTTTTGACCACATTTCAACATGTGGAGAGTAGGAGTCAAACCACTAACTTTCCTGCTGGAAAATGACCATGCTACCTCTTTAGCCCACAGCTATGGTAGAGGCCTGGGTCCCGCATACTATGGGTACAAACATACTAGATATAAGTATGTAGGAATAACCTTTAAAACCCCTACAAGTGCATCACTCTCATTGGTCCATTTGTATTCATCAAAGGCTGACATTGTGAAGCATGAATGTGTTGTTCTCCTCCCTCAGATGTCGCTATAGAGATCCAAGAGCATTCTATAGCAGCTCACAGAGCGGCTGTGTACTATCAGCTTCACTTCTCTGTGTGTCTCATACAGCAGCTTTCTTGATAACATAACATTTGTCCTTATTTGCCATTTCCTTATTTAGTATATTTTTCTGTTTCATCCATTAACTTGCTGACAGACACAAACCACACCTCACAAGAGCTTCACAAAGTATTCTCCACTTTTTGCACACTGTGCTATAGATTTAATTTTAATTGGATAAAATTGCCATTTTTACCCACCAGCCTACACTCATAATGTCAGAGTGGAAATGTATTTGGAGCTTTTTGAAAATGCTTGGCTGAAATCTGCAATTTAAAAAAGGATTCAGGCCCTTAAATTCAGTAGTTCAGCAGCAATTACATCTTCGAGTCTTCAAGGTGGCCATTTCACAGTTTATGAGGCCACTTTGCTCTCGGGAACACAAAGCATTAGAAATGTTTTTATATACCTGATCTGATCTATGCTTCACCACAGTTTTTTCTACAGAGAGTTCCTCAGACTTCATGGCTTTGTATTTATCCTGACATGCTGTCTTGATTGTGGGGACCTTATGTATATACACAGGCATATGGCTTTCTAAACTATGTCAGTTCACTTTATCACACGTGGAGTCTAGTCAAATTCTAGACACATCTCAAGGAGAGATAAAGCAAATACAGTGCACCTGACCACAGTTTGAAGTGACACGGCAAAGGCTCTGAATAATAATAAGAGAGTTCTGATTTTTGATTCCCAAAAATCAAATTTTCACTTTGTCAGTCTGGATTACTGAGTGTAGATGGATTGGATAAAATTACCATTTCTGCCATTTAAAAGGATTCTACAACAAAGTGTAGGGGTCTGAATACTTTCTGAAGCCACTGTGCAAAACACACGTTCCCCAGAACTTAATTACTCCAGTGACTTCATATTTGTACCTGCAGTCTAGTGTGAGTCTGTGGAGTGACACATGGAGGATGTTTGCTGTACATCCTCTCCACGTTTGCACTCTTCCTGAGAGGACACAAATCATCAACAATCACTTCTCATTTCTTACTTTAGTCATTCTTTGGCTTTCTCTCTCACTCTGTCACTTGCTCTACCTGACTGCTTATCTTCTGATTGCTTTTCTGTAAAGGGATAAAATGTTGTTCCATGTGTGAGCATGTGCAGGTGGTGTTGTCCTCCACATGTGTCATCACTCCCCTCTTGACCCCTCAAACTATGAAATTACAAAATAAAACCCATCAGTTGTTGATCAGAAGGGGGAGCAACAGGAGAAACACCAAGGGATTTTATCTCTTTGGAGTACTGTACCTCCACACTAAGCTCGCCAAATCTGAAAATGTCTCTTTTATCCAGTAATTATGATACTACTTGGGGTCAATAGAGCAGACATTCAATATACTTTTACATGCACTTCAATGTAAATAAATTTGTTGTCGGTATCAGGATTTAAATTGCTGCTAAAATGCACGAGGGACTCACAGGATATAATGCAAAGATTTAATCCAGTGTTACTTTCCGGCTCACTGATATCAGCCTCACTCTCAACACTGTATCAGAGGTGTATTAAACCACTGCTAATGCAAACTGAACATGTCCTGCTGCTGCTGCTTAACATTAAGTGTTCTATTGTCAAAACATGGTTTGGCTTTCGCTGTGAAGCAGTCAGAGAAATCGCAGCGTATTTATCGCAAAGGTTAGTGCTAACCATGATTCTTCATAATCACTGTGAAGCAGTCAGAGAAATCACAGCGTATTTATCGCTAAGGTTAGTGCTAACCATGATTCTTCATCACAAGTGTGTCTACAAAACAAGTCAACAATAATCTGTTGACTGTGGGTTTGTTTATAAGTTTTCAAGGGAGTAATGTAACAAGAAAGAGCAGCAACAATGAGCTGTTGTATGATGAGTGTCGGGTGAACAGGTATATGCCTCCAACTCTCCGACAAGGTAAACAGCTACTTTTACTGTCCCCTGCTGTTGTGTGGAAAACTCCGGTGCAGGAATTTGTTTGACAATGTAAACTGAAAAGAGAAGTGATTGTTTGTATAGTGAAACATGAACAACATTTTTAAACTGAGCAGGCTTAGTGAGGATGTAGTCTCCAGTAATACAGAAATACAAGGAGAAGGGCAAAGCAAACAGGAAATGATGTGCATTTATGTGATACCCACATGAAGATCATTCATGTGTACAGTTTTTTTTTCTGATCATACAAATATGAGTATGTACTTTTGATCTGACATGATCCATTTATCCTTTTCCTTTTTGGGAAAAAGTAGTAATATTTAGATAGGCCAGTAACATCGCAATAAAATTTGTAGATTACTGTGTCACCAGGATGGCCTGATTTCCCGTCATATTTGAAATATATTACTATAAGCTGACGATGTAAGAGAGGTTATGGGTTTTATAATTAATATAGGAGTATCTTTATGAGTACAGTGAATACGCATCTGTATCTACATTTGTTCATTTTTACATATCCAAATCCAAGCTTGTAAAGCCGAGCATGAATCAGTCTTAGATGTGCAGCTGTCTCTCAGATAGAAGCAAAAAACAAACTAAAATGAACTGACCATGGGAAGTGGGAGTACTGTGAGAAATTCCAGTTGCAGATCCACGAGTTTCAGCGCTGAGAGAACAAACAAAAGATACAGATTTCACTGTTTCCCATTGTAGTGCATAAGGTCTCACAGTGGGGAGGTAACATGTTGAGGAGAATCCTGACCAAAGTCCACAGTGGAAGTTATAAAATCGAGTATCATGTGTCCAGATTTAGGGGTTTCATGGAAAGAAAAAGGGCTCAGTGATTGGGGGGTGGTTTGTTTGTTTGTCTAAAAGCGTTGTGCCATTTAAACCAACAGACTCTTGGTGTCGCTCTCCATTTTCTCCTTGAACTGCTCTCACCGTCATTCTCTCTCCTCTTCCACTCAACTATAGTGCAACATTGAACTCGGTCACCAGGAAGTCCACGTAATCCCTCTCTTTGGTCTTGAAAGCCTCGGCAATGAGGCGTGCAGCGTCCCTGTGCTCTCGCCCCCTCAGAGAAACCCCGTTTACCTCCAGGATCACCTGACCAACCTTCAGTTGACCGCAGTTATGAGCGGAACCACCCCTCTGAGAAAGAGAAACAGACAGAGGGTGAATTTTGGGAGAACTTAAATTTCTTAAGCATTTTGTTTTGATAATATTAAGTGATAAAATAATAAAAAAAAAGGGCTTCATGTAGGAACCACTTGTGGGAACAGATTTTGCATATACACGTGAATTTAGAGAACTTGTTGCAGCCAGACATTTTCTCCTCTTCAATCAGAATCAGAATCTGCTTTATTGGCCAGGTGTGTCGGACACATGAGGAATTTGACTCTGGTATATCAGCTCTCAATGTGTATGTACATATCCCCATGCAAGGGGCAAGTAAACAGTAAACCAGCATAAGGCTGTGTAATATAACGAAATAAGCAGTTTAAACAGGCAGTAAACAATGCAGACAGACAAAGGAATGCTCATTGAAACGAGATAAACAGGAATAAAAACAGAGTACTTAAAAATAGAGACCTGTATGAAGCTGTATAATCTGTACATGTATATTTACAGGTATTACACTGAGGGTTATTGTCCAGTCATACTGTCGTTGGTTAAGTGTTCATCAGAGTGATGGCCTGGGGGAAGAAACTGTCCCTGTGCCTGGTTGTCTTGGTGCACAGTGACCCGTAACGCTGTCCAGAGGGGAGAAATTTGAACAAATTGTGTCCAGGGTGTGAGGGGTCTGCAGTGATCCTCTCAGGTGTACAGGTCCTCCATGGAGGGCAGGCTCACACCAATGACCTTTTCTACAGTCCTGACTGTCCACTGGAGTCTGTACTTGTCCTGTTTGGTTGCTGAGCCAAACCAGACAGTGATGGAGGTGCAGAGAACAGACTCGATGATTCCTCTGTAGAACTGTATCAGCAGCTCCTGGGGCAGGTTGGGAGGGTGAGTAGTTCAGACCTGCGCAAGGTACGTTTGCTTTCTCCAAGATGGGAAATTACCCCCCACAACAATAACAAAAAATAAAAACATCTTCTTCCTCGTCTTGTAGAACTCCAGAAACACAATAAACGTAGAAATGTTTGGTCTGCATTTGCTTCTGTGAGCAAATGTAATCATCACTGCAAAAGTCTCAAAGGTAAAAATCATCATTACATCGAAGAGCTGGGACTAACTGCAGCTCAGGCCTAAGGTTAGCCTGCCAAGGAGCAGTTCACTTGTGTAGGCCAGACATAGTTTTACAAGAGTTTGAGATCCATACTTTGTTCTATATCACACAAATAAATGAAGCCCTCTAATCTAAACATCACACCATAAATGTAGAGATATAGAGATTTCCTATCACATTATCACATAGCTACACACATATACACACACCCCTGTAGCCTGGCCCAGCCTCAACACTAATTTTATGCACCCTCATGCCTTCAGAAAAAAATGTGTAATCAACAAAATAAATCTTTTTTTCTGACCTGCAATGCCCCACTGTTGCAACTGCCTGTGCATCCTCATACATTTCATCTCTGATTAGAAAAAGTCTGTCTGTTGAGCCTGAGGCACGCACAGGATGAAATCCTGCAGTCTCTTCAGAGACATAGAAACGTTCAGCTCCTTGGTGGTGACAACATAAGACTACTGACACAACCAGCTGATCCCTGCCCAATATGCCAACATGGCCCAGAAGGCCATGTGAAACCTGATAATACCATCAATTTGTCTGAACTGCTGAACTGAATATGCTCATTTCTGTGTGAAGTACGAGTCTAATACCTTTTTCTGCTCAGGATAATTCACTTCACAAAGTACAAACTTTGTTGCCACTATTGTTTCTGTGGAACAAACCTGAAAAGAGTCGTATCTATTGCCATTATCCCAGAGGACATCTATAAGCACAAAGTCATGACTGCTGTTCTTTCCTACTTTCCAGTCTGAAAGCACCAGGCAGGCGTCACATTTTTGTCATAGTGGAGACTGTTCAGAGCACTCATCACTGAAATTACTTTCATTATAGATTAATATGTATGGTTGTCAACATTTATAACCACTACAAGAGATGTTTGTTGAGAAGCTAAACGGAATGACCTCTGCATGTCTTTAATGACAGCTTTTCTGACCTCTCAGATTTTGAATCATCAGTCTGCAGGTCAGCTGGCTCCATGTTGACTTTGTGTTGGGCTGTGCTACTGAGCCAGACACGGTCTCTTCTGCCTATGAAGGATGCCACCATATTTTCAGTACTAAAAGAATGAGGGCTTCTGTTTCCCGGAGGAAATATCTGATGTGCCTCAGCCTAAAACATACAGTAGCTGTATGTTACCTGGCCAGTGCCGAGCAGCAGACCAAGTTAGCTACCATTCAGGAGCTAAAGAGCCAGATAGTGTCTCAGGAGCTGACCAAGGCAGGACCAAAAGGAGAGTTGAGTTTGGACTTACATGTATCAGGTTGACACAAACCCAAATCCATTTGAATGATAAGAGTGCTCTGTCTTCTGGATGTTGCCAACAACAATTTAAAAAATTTGTCATTTTTTTGAGGAGTTCTACTTCACGATAGCAAGAAAAAAAACTACACACCACACCACGACTGCCTCATCACTGCCTCTCTCATTTACTGAGCTAGTGGAGCTGTCAGCCATCATGATGAGAGGATGGCAGTGATAACGGGCTGTCGCTTTAAGAAGGGTGATGGGGACTGATAACAGCTGGCCGTCTAGCAGCGGCTTACTCATCTGTTCTTCATCCTCCACAGTGGTGATTGAGGCGATCTGAAGCGAGAGTCCTTGTGCCCAGAGATACAGTATATGAAACACAGGAGCCAGAGGCTTACTGGATCATGACCCCACTGTGCTCACTTCCAATACAGCACAGAGACAGTATTATACAGATCACCAGCTTTGATGTGATGCCATCATCTGTCCCCTGGGTGGAACTGATGCCCGTTGGAAAGCCAAAAACTAAATTAAACGTTTTTGTTTTCCTTGATTCTTCAATGTACTGTTGTGATGCTTGGTATTGACCTGGAGAAGTACTGAAGTTGTGTGCCTTGATAAATGACCTAATAACATTGAATTAGCTTTCCCTAGGTGACAAAGCAGAGGTTTCACATCTCAGTTTTTCACCTCGAAAACTGAATATGCAGCATGTCTTCCTTCTTTTCTATGGCAGGGTGAGGCTGCCATGTTATCAGTGTTTGTAAAGAACTGAAGCTACGTATACAGTGTTGTTGACCAGAGACGTAGCAGTGGTGTCATGTGGCTTTTCCTCCCTTGTGTTTGATAGCATTTGCACCTCAACAAACCAAAGTTTGTATGGAAACTATACAACCTCAAAAATGTAGAGACCAATGTGACAAATTAATAATTTCAACCTGATTAACACTTTTAATCAACTACCCTGAATGGTTCAAATGAACTTTGACTCTGTTAAACAAAGCTTTTGAAATGAGCTTTATCCCTTTTTTCAAAGAACTGCTCTGGACCTCTTCATGTTTTTGTCCCTAAAAACCAATGCCAGCAGAGGATGACCATGAGAAGGCAACAATTTTCTTTGCTATTACAACGCCAAAAAGTCAGGATGGTATGTAAAATCATGAAATCTGAAAATAGTGACTCGTAAATCATCTGTGTGCTGTATTACATTGAAAACAACACAGCAGCATATTATTTGATGGAAGACCTGATCAGTTGTATCCTTTGTTCAAAATAATACAGGGCACAGATGATTTACAATTTACTACTTTCAGTTTTATATTAGATTTTACATACTGTCCCAACTTTTTCTGATTTGGGGCTTTATCTTTTGCAATAAGCTGCCTTTTGACGATGAAGTATCTGAGATTGACACGTGTTGTGGGGGGTGCTATTATAAAAATTGCCACCACACACGGACTGGTCAGGGCTTGAACCATTTTAGTGGCTCCATGTGCTTAGCGTCACACTGTTGCTCTTGGTGCTAATAAAACATTCAATATCACAGGGAATCCACACCTGAAAGGGGGGGGGGTCTCCTGGGTTGTATATCAGCATGGCTAATGAAAAAATAGCTGCTCAGCATAGTTTAATTATTTGTGATGAATAGAATATGTTTATTCAAAAAATGTGCAAGAATCTCTTTACTCTATGTACTCAGAGAAAGTACTACACCACTGCTGTTAACTTATCTTTTGTTTTTCTTGGATTATGCTCACACATCATGGTAGGAAAAATGCACCTGAGTGAAACAGCCGCTACCTGATGGTACCAAAAGATCTGAGAACACAATTTTCTTTGAATGTTTTCCATTTGTGATTTTCCTCTTCGTTAAACAGCCAGTACTTTATCTCTGAGTGAACAGAGCTAAAAAAATCAACAACCAAAAAACAAAACAAAACAAAACAAAACAAAAAAACACTTAAGGAATTGCTCTGATATAAAACTGGTCAAGCTGTGTATTTGTTTGAGGATACAAAAACAGAACAATACTGTACATCAGATAGAAAGGCTTTAATGGGAAAGACACTGGGGTCCTACATTTGTTTGAGGATTTCTATCAGAAGGAACAATAGCAGTTAAAAACACATTTGTTAATGCGGTCCCTTCTCATCATCTACTCTACACAGCTGCCAAACACCCAAATACAGCACCTACCCACAAAACCAGGCCTCCACTTTCTCATCTGTCCAAATCCTCCTCAGCCCTTCTCTCCATAACACTGCTCTTTCTCCTTCTGTTCTTCTTTCTGCATCCTTCACTTTCCTTTTTTTCCAGTGCACTCTTTGATTTTGAATGTACTGATTTCCAGTCCTTTTATCCCTCCCCTCGCAATCAGCAACCCTTTTTTTATTTCAATCACCACCTCTGTGGAGTGGGAGACCGAGAGACGGTTTTGAATGAGGTGTGGACTGTAGTGTATAGTTGCTCACCACTCTGTTAAATTTGAACTCCTTGGTTCTTGGTGGTTAGAAGATGATTAGTGCAACAGATAGTCAAGAGCTAATGCAAAGACAGATACAGTGTATGCATCTGCAGGCATAGCTGCTTTCTTCAGGGGTCATTTCTAGCTACACTTTCAATATTTGGATATCAAAATACTGAATCATTAGAATATTTCAGTATAAATACAAATGCTTGAAATGTAACATGTGCAGCATTAAACTGAATGTTGACATACTGTAGTTGAACGCAGCCTTTAGGTCTCCCATAGGTGTTGCTGCTGATTCCACTTTCTGCCTTTAACCCAAAACATCAACACACACACAAACACACATTATACCAAACAAGTCTCCAGGCAGTCAAGGTTTTTCAGGGAAGCCACTGATGTTGTAATCACCTGTGAGAGCCCCAAAGAGGACAGAATTAGCAAAAATCTCAGTGTGAGTTCCTCTGCAGTGTGAATCCATATAAAGCCTTAAAGGACCCCAAATCCCACCTGCAAGCTGAGTGTGTGGTGCCATCACAGAGAAAGACAAAAGGCTCCCAGGATAAAACACTCAGCCAGCAAACTGTAGAATACTCACTAAACTCAAAATAAGTGTATATTAATAAGGATGCTGGGTTATGTCAGGTTGTTACTTGGTTTTCCTTCTGACTCACCTGAACTGTGACAATTCGTGGCAGCGGCTGGCGCGTGTTGGCGCCGCCTTCAATGGCAATACCCAGGGTACTGGCACTCTTTGCCACCCTCACTAGTGTAGATGTGGGCTCCAACAGCCCTGGCTAAAGTAAGGCAAAGAGAGGAGAACATGTTATAATATACCGTATATAGAACAACAATATAAATATATATTTATAGACCTAAATATATTCAGAACATTACACAACCTCCTTGTGTCTGCTTCCCTTTGTGCCACCATTTATACATACAACGCCTTTGTTTGTCCAATACTTTATTTTCTTCAAGCACACACACTCACGAGTCTTCTCAGTGGATTTAGACATACATAAATGGCCACTTATTAATGTACATATTCAGTCCTGCTGATATAAATACAACTAAGAGGGCCAAAGAAAGAACCGTTTTATAACCACTGTAGCCACTTTTAACAACATCTATGCAACTGTCTTCCATTAGTCACTGATATGTCAGCTCTTGGTAAGTTTTTGTTCCACTGGCTTCTGCAACCCAATAGTAAGTAAGTAATAGCTGTAAGGCAATTCTTCCATCTGCAAGTTCATCTCAAACATGTTCCTTGTGTTTGATGTCTATATTGTGAGCTAGAGTCCTATGGTGGTCTAGTGGTTCACTCATACCATATAACTGCAGTGTCCTCAGTTCCCTTCCAGCCAGAGAACCTTTATTGTTGCATATCACACCCCTCTCTTTTCCCCCATGTTTTCTGTTATTACCAAATAAGCTCTAACATAATAAATACGACTATTTTCTGTAAGACTGGAGAGTAAAATTTTAGAGTAGCATCACATTCTTTTTTGGTCACTAGGGTGCAGAAAAACTCCAAAACAAGCTGACAGGCACACATATTATCCCGCTAAAGAGCTGCTATACCTAATATGTGAGAACACTGTCTGCTGGATGTGACTATAGTTATCCTATTCACACATCCGGCAGACAGTTAGTATTCATCTTTATTTGAAGATGTGTTTGAGTCCCTCTGCTTTTAAATGCAATATGCACAGAAATGTCTCCTCTTCTTCAGCTGCTAGATGTTCCACTATTTTTTTTTTTACCAGCTAGTTACTAATTTTGTCCACCTGTTGTTTAGTGCCATGCGGATAGCTTGAGCAGAGCTTGTTTGCTGCCTGCAGCTGCTATAATATGTCATACCTGTCCTTACAATGTGCAATAAAACTAACATTATGAGCTACTGTATAGCAAACTGTATTGCTTTTTTTGGGGTTATTATTCATAATCAATATCTGCCAGAGCCAATAACTCACCGCTAAATTCTCACATGAACTGTAGCTTTTGAATACTAACAAAATATCCTTTAATTGGTTAAATTTTTACTATGCAGTACAATAGCAGATTTCCATTTATGAAAAACCCTAGCAACATGTTTTAGCTTTTCAGAAAAGGCCTATAAATGAAAACACAAGAAAAAAACACTCAGCTACAGAAGCTATAATGGGACAGAGGCTACAGACTGGAACCTACATACAGTATATTGGCTAGCTCACTGTCACTTCAGCCTTCTCTAAAACATGATTTGTGACTGTTGCTCACATTTATATACTGCACTTGCTCCCCACTCTTTACAATTCTGCTAAATTGTGAGTTTGCCTGATGAAGAGGAGCAGATCATAACAAGGCCAAAACATATGTCTTCTAAGTTAATTTAGGGAAATTTTTATGAGCACGTCATTTTGCTTGTTTTGGCATACTCTTGCTTGATACTCAGCAAACAGAAGGTAAATGCCGTGCTCTTTGGCAGTAAATTTCAGCTTTTTATGATATGAAGTCTATTCAGCCTACCCTTTTTCTAGAGTGAATTCTCATCTAAAATACACATGAATCATAACAGCCCACTCATCATAAACAGTCAAGCTACTCCTATCCTTACTTGTTATTTCTTCTATTACTCAGTATGAACCAGAGAGCTTCAATATGCTAGACTGCAGTGAGTGATGAAGTAAATGATGGAGCATGTGACCAAATGACTAACATGAGTGAGACACAAAACAAATGAGTGAAACAAAGAAAAGAGTCTGTGTGAGCAAACACAGAGAGGAGAGAAGAGATCACGGTTAGAATTAAGAACAGATTAGCAATAAAGTACAGTGATTTCTAAGCCTTAGTTTCTAAAACTGTCCTCAATTTTTTAAATGTGCCCACTTTCCGAATTGTCCTGTCTTACCAAAAATCTCACTCTTAATGTCACACTGGTCCTCACAAAGACAGAAATACAACAGCACACCAGCCTAAATTAACTGAACACATTTCTCAGTTGCTACAGTTTTAACAGTTAATCTGCTCATTCATCCATGTTTGGCTCACAGCTATTCTGAATCACACCCTCACCGGTTTGGAGGGGTTGTCCACCCCACCTTCGTGGGTGTCTCGGGGGAGGCGTGTGCTGCTGTCTCTGCTGATGTGTCCTGACTCAGCTATGTCCACCCCACTGTCCTCACTGGGGGTCTGGCCACTGTCTGACAGCTGAGACAGGGTGCCACCTGAGGGGGAGTAGGCAGGCAGGACGTCAACATTTGCAACATTGCAACATGCCTTTATTTTTATTTTTTTAAAGTAATCATACCTAAACAAATAGAGGGACATTTAATTTAAGACGCTGTCAAGTTAAACTACTCTGCAACGAAGCAACACAAATAAATCAGAAAGCATTAAACCCAGATTATTTAGATTTGCTTGAAAAAAAAAATCTGATTTTAAGATGCAATACAAGATTAAAAGCTAATTAAGATTAGTGATGCTTTGACTGCAGTGGCAGTTTGTGTAATTGTTTATATAAGCACATTAAGCCCAACTAAATATACGCATGATAGAGATTATACACACAATATGAAAGTCATACCCATCTTCTTCATACCTGAAACTGCATGACAAGTAAATAAATTGCAATGATAATATCTAATCTGATGTTGCAGAATGCCTATAAATACTTACAAATAAATTAGGTGAGAACTACTACAGTACATTCTGCAGCTCAAAACACCTACATACATCTACCATCTTAGAAACATGAACCAGTAGTAATAAAGCACTAAACTGAGGAGAATCTTGTGCAACAGAAACTAAATCTTATCGTGAACCCATAAGGTATCAGGTGTTTAAACACTGCTGCATTTTACTGTATATCATTGTGAATAACTATGTATTGAATTTTTATAGATTGATAGATAGATAGATAGACATTTTATAGATTAAAGAATTAATGTCTAGTTTGAAAATTTTGCAGATGAATAAATAACTTCAAATAAATTTTTTGTTGTAGCTCCACATGTCACAGAAATGACAAAGACCCTTCATCTATGGCAGGTCTGTACACTTTACTTCCCATGCTCTACGTTCCTCACCTCGACCCTGGGGCAGCGGTCGCACCTCATTGACGTCGGGCTCTGCGTTGGGCCTGTGAACCTCCACTGTCACAAATTGGTGTTTAGAGCCAGAAGAGCTGACTGGGGTGGCTTTGGACATGGACACTGGCTTAAAGGGCAGAGGAGGATCAGGGAGTGAAGGTGGAAGTGATGGGGCAGCAGGTTTGGTGCCTCTGCTCGGGGACTGGACCCTGGGGAAAGGGCCAATGTTGTGCTGGGTGACTGTGGACAACTGAGCAGCTGCTATTTGTTCTTTCTTTGAAGGTATTGGAGGACCTCTCTTTCTGACGGGCGTGTAGTCTTGAGATAGGTCCCTGGGATGTTCTCGTTTGTGGTGTAGTGAGGGTGAGGCGGGGGCGTGTTTTGACTCTTTGCTGTGGTTGTGGGGGGTTGGAGCTGTGAAGTACAAGCCTGAGTGGGAGGATTCAGATGAAGGGCATTTGTTGAGCTGGTCCCGCCTACTTGGGTGCTGCTGCACCCCTGGTGGGGGAGGAGGCTTAAAGGAGGGGGGAGAATCGGCAGTGGTGGACTGTATGTCATCCTGAAGCGAGAGGATATGTTCATCATCAGTGATTAGAGGTGCAACAATATATTCTGGCACAACATACAGTGAGATAAAATGTGACCATGTGCATGATTGCACTAAAAATTGCATTAAATCTAGTCAGTTCTGTAATTTATCCATTAACACTGTCAGATGTCAAAGGTGTCATCTGCAGCTTCAAAATATTTACAAGTCAAAAGACCTATAGAAATGTTCAGCTTCAGAAATGTCATATTTGTTTCGGAGTCAGTGTTTAAATTACGATTTGTGCCAAAGTGAGGAGCTTTAACAATGTTTCTGCAACCAAGCTCAGATTCTTTACTGTATCTGCATGATGACAAAGAGGTATTATTTACTCTTAATTTTAGCAGCATTTAGATAAACTTCTGCTGGGTCACTTCACCCATCATTTTTGGTTATTTGGATGAACCAACCCTTTAGGATGCTCTATTATTTGAATTTTCACTAAAACCTAGAAGAAGAAAATATTTTTAAAAAATTAAGAACAGTAAAAAATGGCATATTTTTACATCGAAAGGGGAATAAATTTAGGAATTTGTGTAGAAATATATCACATCAGAAAAACCAAAAAAAATAAAAATAAAAATAATCCTAGTGTTTTTCATTGTTCCTCATGATTGTAACCAATTTTCACTCACACAGCTTCATTAGACACCTGTTTAACCATTCCACCAGCTTTAGTGACAATGATAGTCAACTTGAAGATGTTTAACGCATCCAGTCCAGGTCGACCAAGTCGTTGCTTGCTGCTTTGTTTCCGCTGGTATCCTGTGCTTTAAGGTAAGAGTGCTCAAACACAAACTTAATGGTGGAATGAACAACAGCGAGACATGAGTGGCTCACCAGTGTATGGCATGAGACATAAAATGAGCATAAAAGAAAGTTTACAAAAAAAAGCAGGGAATGATTGATATGTCATATTCCTGGACAACCGCAGACTAAAAGCTTTCTCCTTGACTCCCCTCATCTCCTGCTGTTCACACTAAATAAATGGGATTCTCTTGTTATTTTGGAGACTGAGGTTGTCATGCTATCCTTTTTTAAACCTACTGTGTGGTACAAGTGAAAGTCCTTCCTTCTTAGAGACCAGCCTCTGTTCTCCTCTTTCCACACAACAAAGAAAAGTGGAAGAATGACTTGCTTTATCTCATTCAACAAACACTTGTTCCATTCCACTTCAGTCTACAATACAAAACCTGCAGGTCAGCCATGTCTCAAGTACCTCCAGCTGCTTACACCTCTTCTCCTGTCCCCCTTTTCACCATTTTCTCCCCCCTCACTTCTTCCCCTGTGCCATATCCATCTTTATGAGGGCACAACTGGGGGTGGTACCAGGCTCACCAGAGAGATGTCCGTCAGCAGCGTGTTCAGACTCTCCGGAGGATCCACTTCATTGCTCTCCACCACACTGTCATTCTGAGAGACACAGGAAAGAAATAGCAAGAGGAGTAGGGAAGCAAGATGTAGAGGTGAAAGAGCAAGAGGAGTGGGTGATTAAAGAGAGCAAAAACAGAAGGGGGGGTGATTAAAGTGAGAAAGCTTGTGAGCAGATGTTAAACACAGATGTGTGTTTATCCCAAAACAAATGCCAAATTAGATTTGGTGGATGTTCCACATCTCCTAAAAAAGAGAAACAATGTCAATACCTGTTTGCATCAAGTTTATAAGGAAGGCAAGCAAAGAAGACATGCATGTATGCGCGCACACACACAGACACACACACACACACACACCTGTCATGTCTTCCTTCTCAAGAAAAAACCCACATGCTGTGAAATCAATAAAGAGCCATTAGCTTGGTTCAAAGTAGGATTTGGCAACTCAGTCCCACCAGCGTGGCAGAGAGGAGGTAATTTGTGGCAGATCTATGAACGATTTCAGAGCAAGGGGAGCATATTTCAAAGAAACCCTGCCCTTCATTTAACTCTGTCACTAAACTAAAACTAAAGTCCCCATCAATTCGACTCAATTAACCCTGGTTGCTGCATTGGGAGCACTAACAGACAATTTATTTATCACAAGAGTCTATTGACTTTCTGCATGTAGAAACACTGCTTTGCATCATAGGCTGTCAGAGCACAATGCACAGAATGTGTTTATGTGTGTGTGCGTGCGTGGCAGCCTATCCAGGAACAGTATTACTTTTGCTTACCTTTTGAGTCATTACTTTTTAGTACCAAATAGTATAAGGAATTGCTATTTGAAATTCAGTAATTAAATTTTAGTTACTAATTCTAGTAACACTCGGTTATTGTTGGCTTGTTCACCATCATACAAGGAGTTAATGCCAAAAACGAGGAGAAATGTGAACTCCCAGCAATTCCATAGCTGGTTTATTTAACTGCTGTGTGTTCTTAGCTGGCTTTCTAATGTTAGCCATGGGCCCCTCTGCACACAGGATTTATCGTTAGGGTTAAAGAGAAGAAAGAAACACACAGCTGAGGTCAGGAGAGGTGTGTGCATTCACCACATCTAAGCTAGCTGCTGAATGGTCAATAAATCTGTCTAGATTGTAGGTGTGTCTGCATGCTAAACCACATCGTTTGATTATTTTATTTCTACATGTGTTAATACAAGATGAGCTGTATTAACTGGAGCTGGGGAGAGTAACAAAAGTAAAGTAAGTAATACAGCTTTTTTGCCTTTCCATGTGACATCTTGGATACCAGGGCTGTTGACATTGCTGATCTGGGTGATTTGTCCCTGTCTGTCCCTGTTGTGCCTGTTGACAGACTGCAAGCTACAGCTGGTTCAACATATAGTCTGACATGTTTTTCAGTCAAATCACAGCAGGGATTTAAAGCACTACAGTTACCAAAACTGACAAAGTAATCATTTTTAAAGGCAAATGCTGGGCGATCTAGATCACAACAGGTATTTGTGTGACAGTCTCACTGTGTCTGGTCTGGGCAACGCCGCATTTGGACCTAAAATAGGCCTGGGTTTAAAAAACTAAACAAAACATAAACATTCACAAGGTGCTGCATTGTGTTAGCATATAGCTACACTTGTTTTTGAAATGATGCAATATGGTCCAGGAGGTACAGTCTGAGTAATGCTGTACATCTATGTGTTTTAAATCATATGAGAAGCATATAAGATGCTGAAACACTGCACAGTGGTTTGTGATACTATCAAAAAGAATTCGATAACTCTTAAGGGTTGTCACAACTCCGAATCTCCACTCTCTAGCCAACAAAATAGATGAACTCCTTCTCGTCAACCAGACTAACTATGACTTCTCATGCTATAGTGCGCTATGCTTGATGGAGACTTGGTTCAGAGACTCCATCTTGGACAGTGCAGTACAAATACCGAGGTTCCAGGCATACAGAGCGGATCACGTAACAGAGTTATCTGGGAAAATCCACGCTAGCACACTACAGCACCTGGCCGAAAAGATAACTGGTGTGGGACTGAAACATCCTGACTCCCTGCTCATTGTTCTTGGGGATTTCAAATAAAGACAGCATGTCAGTTGTCCCACCAGGGACAAAAACACATTGGACCACTGCTTCACGGTAATAAAATAGTTCATACGAATGGTTTAAGCACAGATTTGTGTGTAAGCATTGATGGCAAAAGAGGTCCAATGTGCTTGGCTGACAGGTTAGCAATCTTCAAGCTGCAACTGTGTTTGTGCATTCATCTCCACAATGTGTTTGTGTGCACACACACACACATATTGGTATGCAGAAAACTATATGCGGTACCTAGCTGTGAGAGTGGTCCAGAAATCCAGCTCTCTAATCTGCTTTACACAGCAGTGGTAGCATTCACCCATGAGCCCAGAACAGCACAACCAGACACACAAGAAGAATATAAACCAACACACACACACACACACACACACACAGAGTTTCTCTCTCACACACTTTGCTTCTTGGAGGAGAAACTAGAAAGCCTAGCAAAACACATCTGAGGCATCTGAATGACAAGGATTGTTTGATGGAAAAATCTGCAGACAGTCAACAGCTTATCTTCACTGTCAGCTTAGACACTGTGTGTATACTTTTGTGTATTGTCTTGTGTGCGTGGAAGATCAGTTGTCTTCAACCACAATCAACCACTTGAATGCTGACACATTTACTAACAACACAATTGTCTGTTGTTGGCACATTTACTGAATTAAACAAAAGAAATGATTAGAAAAGTGTTTTCTTTTTCTGCACATTAATTACACAATATGTATGTGGTGAATTCTGGAGATTTTAGTTGTTATGTGATCTATGTGAAATACCTTTTGTGAAATACTACACAAATAAACTTTATTATTAGTATAAAAGACACAACTTGGACTATTAGGGCTGTCTTTCATTAGGAGTGCAGAGTAACATCACTTTCATTAGAAGCGCTACAGTTCCTGTCCAAATCAAAATAGAGTAAGAAAAAATAAGAAAGAAAGAAACCCCCCCAACTGCAAACAGATTTAAATCCACTGCAAAACCAAAAAACCAAGAGTGTACATGTGTGTCTAAGTACACAGGGAACTTTACATTTCTCTGCTCTAGTATGTATCCCCATATGTAAAGGTTAGTGTTGGAAAGCAATTACCACTTTCAGCAGTAATTCCTACCTCCATCATATCTATCAGCCAGAGCAGCCTTTCCTGCAGAGGGGGAGAAGGGAGGTTTTTGAGTGTGACATGGAAGAAAAACACAGTCTATCAAACATCAACTGAAAAGTTTTTCAGCTTCAACTGGAACGCAGTAAAATGTGTCATTGTTCAGCTCAAAAAAAGTCCACACCAGAACAGACCTTTTCTACTACACAATCCATTATAATCTACAGAAATGTAATGCACTGCCCTCTCTCTCTCTCATACACACACACACACACACATACATAGCCAGGGAAAACAATCTAGAGCAGACAGCCAAAGAGAGAAGGAGCTACACATAATCCAAACACACAGACGGTGAAGCAGCACTCTGGTCTATCCATCAACAGATTATGTACCAGGTAAAACAGTTGTTGCACCTTCAAACATGTAAGAAAAACCCTCAAATGATGAGTGAAGAGTGAAGATTCATTAAACAAGACACAAAAATATCCAGATTTGGACATGTTATGTTTCCATGTATTAAATCATTCCTAATACACACTGGTGCACATTAATTTAAGAAGATGCAGGTGATTAGTCCACTGGAAACCAGCCTACCCGTGCAGAGCTGAGGGTGGTGTTGGACATGAAGCTGGCTGAAGATGACGTCAGTGTGTCAGGGTACGACACCATGGACAGAGAGTCTGGTTGGAGTGCCGTGGCCCCAGCCATCCCCTGCCGTGCCTTTAGAGCCTGAATTTCACGTCGCAGCACCATCCCGTCAAAACGCTCCAGATCCTGGGGGGTGACCAGGCCTCGCACCTCTGACAACAAGGAGAACTGAAGGGAAAGAAACAAGAGGGGAGGCACAGGTACGACCACCCAGAACTGGTTCACTATTCATTTTACAGTTATGTTACACAAAAAAAGTTTAAGTTTTGTCTTAGACTGAACAGGTTTTTAAGATTTTGTTTAAACACTGCTTTAAGTCTCTCCAAACCTAGATTAAACTCAACTCTGAGTCTCGTCTGAATTGACAGGTCCTGGGCTGGTGGAACTGAACTGGATTTACTGTGTTTTCTCAATAATGTGAAATTCTGCAGACTGTGAGAAAATCAAGAGACTTTTGAGAGCTGGGGAGGAAGGAAAAAAAAACTGAACTGTAAGCATCAGCAAAACGCCTGGGCATATACTGTATCTCAGATGGGCATAGAAAGCTTCATTTCAAACCTCACAGCAATCGCACACGTAGACTATACAAGATTCCTGCACTAGGAAAATTGATTCTGCTTCGTTTTATTATTTTCGTTTTTTCAGACCAGCACAAGCCTGCTCATCCCTCACCTTTGCATGCGTGTTGAGCAGCTCGAACAATGCCATGACCAACTGCTCAACACCGATGTGTCCGTCCCGATACTCTTCCACATAGTAGGCCATTGTCTGCCGTTCAGCCTCTGTCAGAAGGTGACGTGCCTGCTCCTCCAGCATGGCCCGGGACTGGTTCACCAGGCTGGACAGCGTCACCTGTGAGCCCGCCACACCCTTGTAAAACCCAGGCTGGTGTAGTTGGAGGAAAGAAAAAGCAAAAGACAAGAAACCAAAAAACTGAAGGCAATTATATAGCATTTTACAATATTTGCCTCTCATTTGCCCATTCACACACGCTCACACACCAACGGTGGCACAGCTGCCATACAAAGCCACCAGGAGCAATTTGGAGTTCAGAGTCTGTCCCAAGGACAGTTTGCCATGTAGAATGGAGAAGCCGAGATCTAACTGCCAACCCTGTGATTAGGAGACGACCTGATCTAGCTTCTAAGCCACAGTCGCCCCAACATTAAGGACATATTATTTCATGTACATTTCTTATTAGGAAGGGTGATAGGGAGAGGTAAAAAGTCTAAACAAAGAGGACAAAAACAGGTCAGAGAGAAAAAACAGTGACAGAAAAATAGTTTTAAGTCTAATCCTAAAGGTAGAGAGGGCGTCTGCCTCCCAAACTGTGACTGGGAACTGGTTCCACAGCAGAGGAACTTGAGCTAAAGGTTCTGCCTGCCATTCTACTTTTGTGGACTCTAGGAACACTCTGGGAGGAAAGTGCTACGAGGTCTATGATGAGGGTGGAATTGAGAGGAGGAAAGTGCTATGAGGTCTATGATGAGGGTGGAATTGAGAAATGAAAAATGAGAATGAAACATGACAAGAACAGCATTAGGAGGGTAAAAGTAAAGGAAGAGAAGAAAAATACTGACTGTGGAAAACAAGAGTGGAAGAGCTGCAATGGTAAGATTGAGAGAATGGTAGAAAATGTGCACTGAAAAAAAAGATTTGTTGGATTTACTTGATTGTAATGTGTACATCAGTCCCACACAACGATAATGTGTAAAACCAACAATTTTCTTTATGTTAACAGAGGAAATATGAATGAATTGCGTTGCTATACTAGCATAATTTGTGTAAATGCAAAGACCCGGTGTTTCCTTTTTTTCAGTGTGGGAGAGTGATTGATATGAGGAAATAGCAGGAATCTCAAGGGCACTGAAGTGAAACTGGAAAAGGAAAGGGAAGATGGAGATGGATGGAGGCAGGAGGAAAAGGAGGAAGAGGACAGATGTTTAGCATGGCAACACATCAAAACTGTAAGGAGGTCGATGAGGGTGGTGGAGAACACAGGAGAGAAAGAATAGAAGGATAAAGTGATGGATAGGGAGGAAAAAGGGAGATAAAGAAAATAACAGCAAAGACCCAGAGGTGATGGAGGAGCAGGAGGAGGGTTAGAGTAGAGACAAAGACAGGGACATAAATTACACCCACATTTGACAAACTAACCGTCAGTCTTTTAATCTCAAATGTATAAATTATCCTCCTACTTTCTTCTTCCTGCTGTCCTACCATCATCCATTATGATTAATGTTTTGTGGTTCTAACACCACAGCTTGCAGCAGGACAAAAATTGTGCTTTTCACACATGTGGGCGGCAGGTTTTTGGTTTTTTCTTTTGCAGCTTTCAGATCTGTCTCCTGTGTGCCAGCTGGCTTCTCTGCCAGTCAGGACAACACCGACACTCCAGAAACTGATGCGCTGCCATCACCACTCCATATCTGCTCTTTTTTCTCACTGCCCATTCCCTTTCTTTTCTGCTATCTGCTTGTTAGTATGTAGCTTTTCTTTAATTAACTCCTTAAATCAAGACACTACTTCAAAGTCACAGCATCAGGGTTTGCCTGAGTTTGCACGAGATGGAAACAGGAGGAAGAAACAGCCCCGGTACTGTCTTCCTCTTCTCCTCCTCCTCCGCTCTGTCTTCACCACATCCTCAGCCCGCACTCTTCTGCTTGTATTATCAGTTGTTCCAGTGTCCTGGTTTGAGCAGAGCCAACACCTGATTTTTGTCCAAATTGAACTCTGGTGCTACCCTGCCTGAATCTTAATCACCTCAGTGCTTACCACAAAAATTTCTCTAAGGCACATGTGTTGCAGTTATTTAACTCTAGGGCACTGTGAAGTGAACCGAGAGGACCACATGTAGTTTGTGAATAGTCAGTCTGTCTGTCCCTAGCTGTCATATTAGGGAGGAGATTGGCACTTGAGGGACCAAATGAAATCGGTTGTCACTCAACTGAAGTGGAACACCTGCAGTTTCCTGCTAATGCGGTCTGTTTCAGATGCTGATATTCAAGGATGGACAGAGGGGACTTTTGCTGGAAGACAAAATTTTTACAGTTGATGGATATCTCGGTCCAATCTGGTCCGTCTCAGTCCAATCTGATGTGAATCTCTGGCTGTGTGCACCAAATGCCAGATAAGCTCTTTTATCACCATGACCAACAAGAACTACAACAACCACTGTCGACATCCAATCAATAAAGAGAAAATCAAATAAAACAGGATCAAAAAGAAGGCAGGGTTACAACAGGGAAATGTCACACACATGATCTCTGCTGTAGCCTAACTATAAAATTGAGATAGTCATTATTTTTCAATAGATTTGAGACTATTCACACCTCCATTAGCCTCAACATAAACTCCTGGAACACAAAAACCTCGCAGTGCACTCTGATGACAGGGTCACACCGTACAGCACAGTGAGTTTCCACTGCATGCCTGTTATGCAAAAGCTTCCTGAAAAACAAGCAAGTGGCTGGCTGAGCTCCTGAGCTAAACAGGCCCATATGGTAATCAGGAACCTCTTAGTACCAAAAGCCAAAAAACAAACAGGATGACTAACACTGCAGGATTCAAGCAGCTTGCTATAAAAAGCTTCAGGAAATGAAGCAGAAGAGTAAGTGAAGGGGTAAACAGTGTTGCTCTGGGGTTTAAAATAATAGTTCCTTCTTTGTAAATAAACACAATTTCTGTAAGACAGTATTGTTTTGACCATGTCATTTTTAGTGAAGTTTCTATTCCATGCCTATTGGGAATTCTTCATTCTGGTACACAGGTTGGTGTGGATCAAGTTTTGCTAAAACAAAACCTAGAGAGTCAGCATTAAACGGTACAGTAGCTGAAGACAGCAACAGTAATGCTTAGTTAAAAATCACAGAGCTAGCGTTATTTACCAACAACCACGCTAAACAGCTTCTCATTGACAATAACTTATATTAAATTTCAAAAGTGACATTTGTATGACTGTGGACATTCAGTGACTGGAGGAGGACAATGAACTTTTGAACTTTTGAGCATTACCATAGGATGCAGTGAAACAGTCTGCAGATCTAAGGAACAGCTGCAGGGGCAAAGTGGGAGGACATGGAACTAGAACGGAGTGGAAACTAAAGAGATGTGGAGGAGATGGAGGTAAGAGTGGAAGAGAACGAGAGACAGTGGGAGATAATGAGTGCATGTCTGTAACAGAGAGAGGCAGCTGTGTGAGGGAGTGAGTCTCTGCTGCTACTGGATACTGTGTAACAGCAGGAAGCACTATTCTCTATTCTTGAAATTGAGAGCAATCACTACTATCTGTCTTACTTTCCAAAAATCAAAATTTGTCTGGAATTGAAACGACAAGCCGGGCCTTGTAAAACTCTTCTTGCTTAGTTTAAATTATTTATAATTAAATTAACACATTACATTTTTAGCTTGGTAAAATTTTCACAATATAAAACTTTGATTGAAGTTAACTTAATTTAGACTGTCAAACTAACAAGACTAGAAAGCACTCAGAGTGTGACCTCTGCCATGTGCAACTCAGTATCCCCATTATGCCATTACACACAAATGCAATATTCCCATGATAGTGTGACCCTCATAATAAAATTGCTTGACCATGAAAACCTACTGCTGGCATTTGGAATGACATATCAGTATTAGTTGAAAGCTTTTTAAGAAAAACGATAGACCTGACAGACATTCACTTGTTGGTTTAAGGGTAAAACAGGGACTTCAGTGAGTCGACCGCGGGCAAAGCTGTGAAGATGTCACATTTCCGCAAGTTTGTGTTCAGCTTGTTCAACAGCTGTTTGATAAACTGCTCATATAGTCTCTGTTACTGGGGGAGTTCAGGCCCTCCCTCCTCTAAACAAAGACTAAGACAGAGAAAAATATAGTAAAGCAAAACAGGGTGGTCTGTGTCAACTTCTGAGGTTATGCTGTTAAGGGAAGCACAGGGTGTACTGCTTGTTAGGTTCTGACAGTGGAACCACAGCTACAATGTGCAGCTGGAGCACCGTCCTCTTCGACAGACTACTGTGCTCTGAACCAGATGTAACTGCCTGCTAACAGAGCTAGCCTGGTCAGAAGACGAGGCACTTGCATCTCTGAAAACGTCAGAACAAATTTCTAAACTGGCATTACTCGGATACACTGACCACATATTGTCAATCTAAGTGGTCACTATCACTGCATAGCGTCGATCTCTCTCCAGCTGTGGGCTGTCACCTCACTGTGCTTCTTAAGTCCCAGTCTCACAAAGAGTGATGTACTGAGTGACGGCTCTCAGTTTCTATTGATAGCTTTCAATATCAAAGGGATTTGTGTCTGTATGTGCTCGGGGTGCTCAGCAGCACAGGCATGCACTTCGACCACAAGGGTGATCACATACAGTCAGTAGCCTTTCTAGCACTCACAATGGTGAATAATCTTTCGAACCCGGGCGGACTGGAAGTTGATGATCGTGCATCCAAAAATTCCTGCATCCAAATTATGACATGGATCAGCACCAAAATCTAGTGTATTGATCCACGGGCCATACCCTCATACAAACCAAGAAAGGAAAGGAAAGTCGCTTTCATCTTTTCCCATTTTTAGGGGTTTGGACAACAATGTTAGCTCAACATTGATTTAGCAGTGGATGCAGTTATCACCTGATAGTTTTCAGCCAATAGATGACTGGAGGAACATTAGGAAAATCACTCATGTGTGATGCTAAAAACCATCTCTGAACAGAGACTGGGTTGTGATCGCCCCCTCAGGTACATTTCACATCTCGAGTTGACCACTTAGATAACCTGGACTGTCATTAACCTGATGTTAACTAGATCTACCCAGTCTTCAGTTCTACCTTCAGTTGTGGAAAACTACAAAAATGTTTCAGGGAGTCATGGTTTAATACAGCTAAC